TCATATTTCGTTTCTAAAAAAGTATGTAGTTACGTACCTAAAGGAAGATGCCATGTTACCTAATTTTGACAGAATAATCTAGAAGTCATATCAACAAATACAAGGAAAAAAAAAAAGCAATTATAGTATAAAGTACTACATTCTGTTGTTTCTACAATGCTTCTTTCTAAGCCGCACGGATCAAACGCAAATTTGCGCAATAACGACCGTATATGTATTAAACAATTGTTGAACGAATCAAGTGCATGGTTTTTTTTTCTAATTCAACACAAAACTATATTTGGAATTATGGAACATGAAGCGCACTATATAATATAAATAGCCACCTTTTTAGATTAAAATAATTCTTGTATGATTGGGCATGCGAGTAAATAAAAAGGATCCACACATTGCTTCGTTTCAAGGCTCAAGAACATTTTTTTTACTCCCGCTTTTTTCCTTTTTTCCTTTTTCTTACTTGTAAATTAATTATAAGGTTTAATTTCATTGGAAGCTCTTTAGGGATCAGGTATCATCAAAACGTAATTTATATTGAATGCCGTTTTATTTTTGTTGTACTGTAACTAATAATTTAGTGACATAAGAATGCTTGATCGATTGTTTTTGGTCTTGCACAAATAAGTTGATTTACTTTTTGATCATTATTGATAAACATTCTAATCCTTTTATTATTTCTCGTGGCATATATCTTAAATACGAAACGAAAAAAAAAAAAACAAAAAAAACAAACCGCTTAGAATATAAGTCGTAGATAGTAAAATAATAATAATATATATAGTGTGTATATTTTTGACGCATAAAATTATCTGAAATTATGCGTTCGATAATAAAGTTGTTGTCAGTTTTAATTATTGCTTTGATCTTTGTGACGTTGAATCTTCAAAGTGCAACTGCTAACGAAAGTTTGCTCAAACGACGTGAGTATGATCTTTACCATATTTTTTTTCGAAAACCATATAAAAGAAATATATGTTGAATTTCTTTTTTTTTTTTAGAACAATCCACTACCCCGACACAACCTTCAAATTCAACGACACCAAGTCAAACAACAACTCTAAGTTCAACAAGTTCAAACTCAACAAATTCAAACTCAACAGTTTCAAATCCAACAACTTCGAATTCTACAGCAACTTCAAATTC